GTCATAAGAATGTTTTTCTTTTTTAGACCTTTGTTATGATTCATGTCCTTGACACCTAGAACTTGTACCCATGCCTTCAATCAAATTGATAGTAAGAAATAGAAGCTTAAGATGATAGACTTTCACCAACATTGGTGGCTATGCAAATCCATTTTAAATATCTCCAAATACATCAAACAAAGACAATTGAATACAAAAAACAAAAACTTATAAGAGTTTTTTTATGAAAATTAACAAAAGACATAAAAACTTGTGTTTTAATCAGCAAGTTAATCTAAAATAAATAATTATTGCACATAATTTTGAAGTTGCAAGCAAAATCTTTGATTTGGCACCAATGCACACTTATAGACAATAATATAGAAGTTCAATATGTTGAGATTTTTTTTGATTTAAAGTGGCAAATAGAGACAACACACCTAAGTATAGAAAGTATAGGAAATGTAACATGGTTCCTATCCGTAATGATTGCATATGCCTAGTTTGTAGAACTTTTCTACTAGTATACATTTTACAAACGACAATAGTATTGCAATGAGATAGACAGTAAAAGGGGCAAAGGCATGGGCATTAGATTTAGCAGATAATATTTGAAATTAAAAAGAAAAGGTCTTTATACACTTCATATATAAATGTTGTCAATTGTAAGAAGGTGACATCTAGCAAATATAAAGATAATGTCTTATTAACACATTCTTTTATATATACTAGAGAAAATTAACTTTTTAAATTTATATAAAAATAATTTCCATAAAATATATTTTTTTAAATTCCAAATATTTTTGATATTTTTTTTTTTATTATTTATATGTTTCAAGAACTTGCTATACTAATAAATAGTTTTAAGAAATTAATAACATATAAATATTATTTATGATATTACAATAAAAATAATATATATATATATATATATATATATATATTTATAAAATTTGTGATAATTTTTTGAAAAGTTAAAAATTTTAAAAGTAAATTTCTTTAAAATAAGTAAATAGTTCTTGGAGTTCCAAATAAGAAATTTACTTTTAAAATTACTTACTTTCAAAAATAAAATAAGAAATTTACTTTTAAAATTTTAAAATTACTTATTTGAAATTTACTTATTTAAAATTTTAAAAGTAAATTTCATATATTCATTTTTGAAATTTTTGAAATTTTAAAAGTAAATATTAGATAAATACAAAATAAAATTATGAAAAAAAATTCAAAAAATTCAAAAAAATTCAAAAGACATGTTAGTATTTAAATTCTTATGTATCTATAAGGCTTTATTTTTTTAATTTGTAAAGGTTATTTAATCATGTTATTGTAATCATACAATAATTCTCATCTCTAAAAATCTAAAAATCTATAAGATGAAGATAGAACTAAAAATAAAATTAAATCTAAAAATTATAAATAATTTTAATTTTATATATGTAACTATTACCATTCTTGATTATTAGATTTTTATAAAAAAATATAATATTATATATATATACACATGCATTATGTTTTGTTTTAAAATGTTATAGAATATTCTTAAAACTCTAAAAATCTTCTAAATTTTTATACCATTTTTTTAAATCTTTAAAAACTTCTAGATTTTTCTAAAATAGTTTGTAACATTTTGAATTCATGTCATTGTCTTGGAGTTCCAAAGAACCTTCTATAGTCTTCTTAATTGCTTGAGACATTCTTTCAATTTTAAAAACTTCTATAAAACATTTTGTATATGTGTACATTATTTTATGGGTCTTTAAATTTCTTTTAGAAATATGTTTAAGATTTGATTGCAATAATATAAATTAAGAGGAAGAATAAAATGCACAACAATATTATTAAAACGAATTTTAGAGCAATTCAAAAGTCTACAAGTAAGAAGATCAACATCACATAGCTCTTCTCACGCTTGAAACAAAATTATCACAGCGAGAGTCTTGTTCATGCTTGCAGCATCAAACTTGTGGGGGGCGGATGTTTGCAGGCGCGACCTTCCAATCGCACGTCGCATGCACTTTCATGTCGAACAGTGAATAGTGGAGAACAGGAGCAGGAGGGGCAGGAGCAAAGAGTTTCTGGTGCGATGGGCCTCGGCGACCTCCACGCCGAGGCACTTGCGAAAGCACGGGAAGAGTTTTTTCTAGCTTCGCAATCCTATGGGGGGCACTGGGGAGGTGTTACAGTCATGCGGAATCGATGGGGTGCACATGACTTGGTCCAACGCCGCCAACCGCGAGGCGAGGTGAGGCGAGGTGAGGTGAGCCCCCACACACACTGCGCCGGAACCACGGCTGCACGTCGCTCGAGACCAGCACACCGTCGCGCCTTCTGCCGCCCTTGCGGAGCGCAGACACGGCCCCGGGCGATGGCGCACAATCCGCCTCTCTTGTAGGGCCCTTATCCCTGTGGTTTTCCGCCCCAGCAGGCACCAACCCACGCCGCACTCTTCCATAGATACAACCCTCCTGTTTGATCCATCCCGTGCAATGCAGGAGCTACTGCTGCGAGCAGTGCCTCTGGCCGCTTTCCTGGATATAACCACGGGTCTTGGTCGTCCAGGGTCCCCGTTATCCACGGCCGTAGGTTCCTTTTCAACGGGTAGACGCTGCATGGCAATGACGCCATGCCTTGGTCCCACCCGCTCACGGTAATCACTCACTCGGCGGAAATGGGACGTCCCTAGACCCATGACCGTCCACTGTGTCCAAAAGGAACGGATGAAGCCAGTCTTTATTAAAGAACTTTGGAACAAACTGTCTCATTCGACTCGTTTATTTTATTTACCAATGGTGGGCATGCTTATATTTTATTATTAGTATCATAGTTTTCAATATATATATATATATATTTTTCTCTACTATTCATTAAATTTGTAATTCAAGCATTATTAATTTTCTCATATGCATGATTTTATTACCTACTTCTATGAAAAAAATAATGCATCATAATGTGTTATATTTATTCTTGAGATGCAGTGTATCTTTGGGATATAATATACTTGATACATATTGCATCTAGAATGGTATAAGGATTTTTTTGATTAATTTTTATCAATTCATCTTAATATTAATTCTTATTATAAATGTTGTAAGATTTCATACAGTTTAATTAGTTCCATTTATTTATTGTTAGTTTAGTAAAAAGCTATCTTTCTTTATGTTCAAACTTTAATTTTGAAATTTCATTATTATTGATACTATTCTAGTTTATGTTTGAATAATCAAATTGACATACTTTTATAATTAGGTATTATTGCTACTTTATGAAAATCAAAAGATTTTGTATTTTTTAAGTGTAAATTTTACTCCTCAACCCCAATTATAAGATGGCTTCAATTAAAAGTTGCTTATAATTGATGGTGTAAAGTGAAGTAAGCAATTGACAAAAAACCAAAGAAGGACAACCACAATACAAGTGAAAGAAATGAAATCAAGTAATTACAACATCCAAAACTAAGTCACGGTCTATTCACTAGATTTTTATCCAATAAAAAATAAAAAAGTAAAATATTTTTAGATAGATAATTTTTTAATCTTTTCAATGACATAAAAATCATGTAATTCCAAGTTACTATCAGTAAGTTATGATAGATTAAAGATAGAATGTAAATAATAGAAAAATTAAGTGAATAATTTTTACTTCAAGGATAACTTGCTTAAGAAATCAGGAATTCGAGCCTCACTGAGCTCACAAATAGTGTATATGGATTGTCTACAGAGGCTTTGAGGCTTTAGACTTATCTTCCTACCTATACCCAAGGTGCTACAACCCACATGAGAATTGTGCACCTCTCTTCCTACAAGGACTAAACTAGCTGCTGGTCCTCATATTTTCTACTAGTAAAACTACTTTTTTTGCATTTTTGACTACACCATGGTGTTCAAAAACACCTGATTAGCCTAAACACCTTGTATAGCCTTCAAATCTTGCTTCATTTCTTCATAATGGCTCTCAAGGTAGTAAAACTCAATTAATTTTCTATTGAATGACTTAAAACTATGTTTTTAATTAATCCACCAATTATAATCAATTTAAGGGACTCACATATTTATTAAACTATCTTCTTCTTCTTCTTCTTCTTATATTTTATTAAAAAAATAATATTATATGGATGTAAAATTAGTATGTTGAAACTTTTACTAGACCAAAATTTACAATAATTTTATAAAACTTTTCAATGTAGAAAATAGTATGTTTTTAAAATATCTAATTATAAGGTTTTGTCTACCATTCTTAAATGATTTTTTTTAAGATATATGAATAAAATGATATCGCCAATCTTAACAATGTATAATTTGTCAAAAATATTATGACTATTTTGAAATAAAAAATATCTGTGTGGATTCTATACTCTTGCACAAAATTATCATTCATGTAATTTTTAATTACATCACCTTTATTGACTTTTATTTTTTTTGTAAAATAAATATGCTTCCTTAAAATATTGAAATGGTGGTATTTTTATTTCTATTTTTTTCTTTTAAAAAAAAATCTTCATATGATCTAATTCTTTTACAAGATTTAAAGAATAACATTCACAATTAAAAATTATTATTATTCTCTTTCGTTATTGATATCATAGAGTGTTTTTTTTTTGAAATTTAAAGAAAATCTCAAGTTTCAACAAAAAAAATAAAAATAACAGAAGAAATTAATATTAAAATAATAATTAAAATTATATAATATATTGAAAGAAAAAAATTAAAGAAAAAAAAGATCTATGAAGAACAGCACTCACTGCACAACAACAGAGGCCATCGCCAACAAGAGCTGAATAGGCACGGAGACCAGTAACAGGGCTCAAAGTATCACGAATATAGGGCATCACAATTTTACGGGTAACACCTCGAGCTGCCCGTAACTTTCATAACGGGGCCGGGAACGCCAAGGGCCCGTGGGGCATATGGAGGGTATGGGCCAGGCCAGAGTGGGAAGGCTGGATGGGATGGATGATAATCACGGAAGGCGTACTGTTGATTTTATTTCATCCTTCCATCCATCCATCCAGCCATGGGCTAAGCTCGCAGCAGGCATGGTCGCTGACTCTGCCATCATCGTCTAGATACTGCAAGCTCGCTCGATTGATCGATCGCACAATTGCGCGCTCCCAGGCGGATCTGCAGCTTCTCTTGTTGTGGAGTACTCGACGCTGTTGCAATTCGTGCACCTGGGGTGTGTCTCACGTCCCCATTTCGCAACAGACCTCTTTCTGTTTCGTGCCGTTTTGGTGTTGAGCAAAATTTGTAGAAGGGCTGCTGGAATATTTTATTGTTGAAATTTCCCAGCATTGCTGACGTGGCAAGAAAAATCACGCCGAGAGACATCTAGAACCTCCCTCTCTGACCGTGAACCCAAACTGAGACTTCTTGCTTTGTTTCTTCAGTGAAGCGTAGCGCTATCCAAGTGCTGTACATTGCTTGCTGTAATTCGAAAAGACTGCCGAAAAACTTTATGGCTCGAAACCCAACAGTCCAGTCGATGTCCAGACTCTTCGGCTTCTTCTTATTCAGGGTCTCCTAGAATATAATAGAGACAGAAGCCCTGCATGCGGAGCCTGAAAAACTTAGCTCGGAGGGTAGCGGAGTTCAAGGCGGTGAGGGTCAATGCCTCTGTTGTGTGTCTTCCACTTGCTTTCGAGGTGGATAATGGTGACTTTCAGCGTGGAAGGCGTTTGAGGATTTGGCAATTGGAAAACTCGAATTTTTCTTGCAATCATCTTCGCTTTCCCGTTGCAGGGTGTTGTTGTTGTTGTCGCGGCTGCAGAGTTGGAGTGAGTCGGCAGAAATGGCGGAGGCAGGGAAGCCGTTTAATTGCCCGATATGCCTTGAGATGGTCTACAAGCCTGTCGTGCAGGTATGCGGCCACATGTTTTGCTTCTGGTGCGTGCATCGTTCCATGAACCCTTCCACGGTGTCCCATTGCCCGATCTGCCAGAAACCATACGTCCACCTCGCCCGCATCGCCCCCCAGCTCCACCACCACCTGCAGCTCGCTTACCCTCTCGAGTATGAGAGCCGCGCGCGGGAGGTCGCAGCGGAGGAGCGCGATCAGAATCTCTACTCTCCCTTCATAGAGCCCGTCCCATCGTCCTCTTGTAACCCTAAAGCCATCCTCCGCTGCAAGGTCTGCAAGAAGCTGCTCTACAAGCCCGTGGCGATGAACTGCGGCCACCTCATGTGCCAATCCTGTGCGGCATCGGGTCCGCCCAACACTTGCCGTCTTTGTGGTGTGCATCATCCGGGGCCATTCCCGCAGGTTTGCGTTGAACTCGACCAGTACATGGAGAAGGAGTTTGGGCGAGAGTACAAGAGCCGGGGCGGCGAGATCGGTCGCGCAATACTAGCAAACTGGGAATCCCGGCCCGCTGACAATCTCGGATCCATGGGCATGGTGCAGAATATGATTCACCCTAGTGTGGGGTGCGATGGCTGTGGTATGATGCCCATTCTCGGCAGACGCTTCTATTGCCTCGATTGCCCGGAGAGTTGCGGTTATGATTTGTGTCAGACTTGTCATGCTCGCGGCGCGAATCAGCCCGGGCGGTTCAACCAGCGCCACTCGCCGTGGCACCGCATGGAGGAGCGGTCCAAGCGAAGCCCCTGGATCTTCGTCTGGGCCTGGTGAACCTGCCTGGGTAGTCTCAGAATCCAACCCGCTAGCTCATCTACGTAGAAATCGGTCGCGGTTAGTTAGCTTAGTTAAGTGTACAGTCTGCACATGCTCATGAGGTTGCTCGCGCACGATCACTCGTTACGACTCTGTGAACATCTGTGATTAATGAATCATACTACGTCCAACTTCACAAATCGGAACCTGATCGTCGGTTTCGCAACATCTGTGCTGGTTCTGATAGCTTGTAATGGTTTGTGATGGCTGATGAGGTTTGGTAGCGTATCACAAAGAGCTACTTTTGTCTACTAGCTTGTTTGTTTCTGTAAGATAAGCGTCGGCTTGTGTCTACGGCTGCGAATGTCTGAATTTGTCGCGGTGATCCCGTTTTTGACCTCGTCAAACCGATGAACTGACACTTCGAAGGATCTTACGTTGACATGCTATCATACTAGCACTAATTAATAATCAGCAGAGCGCATTAAATACATTATCTTTCTCTCCCCACAACGAAATACAGACAGCCAAATCCTCTCAGAAAACAATAACGTTAACTTATCTACGTGAAACCTGCAACTGGTGGTAATGAATTACACAGCTCAGAGAAAAAAAAATACCCAGAAAATACTCCATCCAGCATATTCTCGTTAGTCGAGCGGTGCTGTAAATCTGAAAGCTTGATACTTTGGACGTCAAAGTACAGCAATCGAGCAAATTTGTGCACAAATACCGTATCCGAATGGAGGGGACTGATGGCCGAGGGCAGACGGAGCAGGAGGGCAGGCGCAGCGGGCAGAGAAGGAAAACCAAGCGGGGGTTTCGTCGTGCTAGTGGCGATGCCGGACGAGGAGAGTTGAGCTTGGTTGTGAGTGAGGGGAATTGTTTGGTCCTGAACGAGACGCCATAGCCGATGCTGACGAGTTTGAGGCTACGACCCCGGCCGCGCGGCGCCCACGAATGGAACTCCATCACAAGGAGCATTCCAGCCAGGTGACGCACGCGCGGTGTGTGGATCATTGTTGCAGGCTATGGAGCTCCCAGAAGCTATGGGAGCTGCGCCATGGACGCCATCCTCGCAAGTGGGTATCGTAGAGGCACACGGTAGGGTCTGGTAGGGGGGTAGCAGCGAATCCAGTGATTTGGCACCGCGAAAGCTGTTGCGATGATCAGTGGCTTGCCAATCGGGGCTGCCGATGGGGGCCCTGGACCGTCGTCGCAATCTCCTCTGGAGTGGAAATTCTCCCAAGTGTTCGGTGAGCGCGCCGTTGGTGAAGAAGTTCAAGACGGTACCACGATCTCACCCCCTTTTCTCAAATTATTTGCCCTTTGTAGTAGTAGTAGTACTGGTCATCACCATCTTCCACCTCTTTTGATTGTCGCAGTGGTCACCTCAATCTTACTGGATCGACAACGAGGGTGTGAATCCATTCTGTGGGTGTAGCTTTTCTTTCGAATATTACTTGTCTTCCTTCCATGGCTTTGACTGCGACGGAGATGTTAAGGGAGTAGGTATTGGAGCTTTACATCCAAGTCCACGTCTCATTCCGGCTGAGTCTATCAGTGGGAACCTTTTAGAATCGTTGTTCCATTGGGAAATTTTCTTAACACTAAAACAGCTCTCTTTCTCTCTGGCTATTTTCCTAGTTCTTGGGGCACGATTTTTGTCTCGCATACTACCTTTGTTCATTTTTCGGGAACTGTGCTTCTTAAACCCTGATGAGAGGTTTTAGTTCAGGATCTACAACTCCACCCTCATGCTGGGTTTACTTTGCATCATATTTCAGGACATTATTGGGTGAGATGGTTGATTCTGAAGCAGCTATTGTCGTAGTCGTCAAATTACGAAAGGCTTGTTCCAGCGCTCAATGCTGGTCTCTGGAGCTTCCATAGTTGCTCTTTTCCAGCTGCTAAGCTCTTCCATAATCTGATCAGTAGTTTGTCTGAATTTTTCATGAATTAGCTGTGGTTTGATCCTAACCCGTTACTCATTTGTATTGGACTTCCAGCTAATTTCGGCTTTCTGTGCGTAATTCATGACAGACGATATAATCTCAGCTATTGAGTTTGATAAATCCGGGGGGCATCTGGCAACTGGAGACCGCGGAGGGCGTGTTGTGTTGTTTGAGAAAACAGATGCCAGGGATGTAAGTTTCGGCTTTCATACACTTTATGTAGATTCGGGCTAATGAAGCTCACATCTGAGCGGTACAGAAAAGGTCTAGTACGAGACAGTAGTTTGCTAGGTCCTTGACAAAGTCCACTGTCTGAGGATTACATAGAAAGAATTTTGCGTGTTGATGCGAGATTGTGTCCTCCGCAGCAACGCACACGAAAGGAGCTGGAAAAGACAGACCATTCAGTGCTAAGGCATCCAGAGTATCGATACTCCACCGAGTTTCAAAGTCATGAGCCCGAGGTAATTAGACAAGTGATCGGAGACTTGCTCAAAGTTTAATAGCTGGCCTGGAAATATGGTAAAATATGTAATTGTCTCTATTAGGAGGTGTGTACGTTGGATGAACCTAAATGGGGTTTCCTTGTTTTTATCTGCAGTTTGATTTTTTGAAGAGTCTGGAGATAGAAGAAAAGATCAACAAGATCAAGTGGTGTCACACTGTTAATGGTGCCCAGTTCCTACTGTCCACAAACGACAAAACGATTAAATCATGGAAGGTAATTTCGGCTGACGTGCATGACCAGGGAGCATTTTAGCATCGCTATTATTTTACCAAGATCCAGATCATGAGTCGATTTCAAAGCGGAAAAAGAAAGAATTACATAACATGGAACCATCTTCGAAACCAAATGTCAGTTAAACCACGTTGATGGCTCATCACTTCACTATCTTTCATTGTTTTTAGGGGTCTGACAAATAAATATTGCACAAGATCCATCAAGGAAAGGATTCATATATACTCTACTCTTGTTATTCTCGGGACTTTTTTTTTTCTTTATCTTTCTTTCCTTTTTTTTCTCTTTTCTTGTGGAGAACATGACCTCTATCTGAGCCATTTGCCGTACTACAGGTGACAGAGAAGAAAACGAAACAACTGTCTAACTTGAATGTGGCTCCTGAAATTCGTGGGAACAGAAGTGTAATATCCATCAACCTGGCAGATGATCTGAACAGTTTTGGGCCTCGCCCGAATCCCACCTCTTTTAGCATTGGCTCCGACTTTCGGTTTCCTCCTGGGGGAATTCCAGCTCTGCGTCTTCCTTCGGTAGTTTTATGAGACCCCTCTCGTCTGCCCACGTAGGCCGTTCGGCTATGCGTTTCTCCCATGTGAACAATACTTCTAGGATACCCTATTGGTTAATGAATCTCATGTTGTGTGGGTGTTTTGATTATTATTTTTAACGTTGTAGAAGAATAGATTACATCTGTAATTTAACTTCTGGAGGATCAAAGATCTAGCCGCCAGTGCCTCACCCTTATTGCTGTCTTTTGTGGGCTCTCTTGAGGACTGCAGGTTTCCATCAATGAGACAACGTTGGTTGCGAGATGTAGAAAAGTGTATTGTAATGCTCATGCATATCACATCAATTCCATCTCGACAAACAGGTAAGGTTTGATCTCAGCGTCTGTTCTACCAATGGGTGTAGTACCATTGCTCTCTCCTCTGCCATTCGGTCGATGTTTTTGTGTCACTGACATCTAAGTCTGGAAAAAGACACTTCACCTGCTCATAATTGTTGTGTTGTCTGCGAAGGCGTTTCTCAACGAACGACTCTTGGAATTGAATTTTCTTCTGGATCCTTGGCCTTGCTATTGTGCAGTGATTGCGAAACGTACATATCTGCGGATGACTTGAGAATAAATCTTTGGAACCTCGAAGTGAGCGATCAGAGTTTTAACATTGTTGACTTGAAGCCAGTAAACATGGAAGACCTCACAGGTACTGCTTCATGCTGAAGACCAAGGATTGTTTTTTTCCCTACAGTTCTCTGGGATAGAGCAGCCCTACATTTTATTGTTTTTTCTCAATAATAAGAGGACGAGGCCAGTGGGCGGATCTAACTCCTCTGGGTTTGGACGTTGTGTGAGCAGAGGTTATAACATCAGCGGAGTTTCACCCCACACATTGCAACTTGCTTGCATACAGTAGCAGTAAGGGGTCTATCCGACTTATTGATATGCGCCAGTCGGCTCTTTGTGACAGACATACCAAGTTGTACGTCTATTCCACTAAGACAAAGTCGATATACACTTTTCTCTGATAATCGGGCGTCTACTTTTATAATGTTAGAAAAACTTATCTGTACTGAGTTACAAGCCACTGCTTGTGCATTATCTAACAAGGTTTCTTTTCTTTGTGGTTTTTATTGTTCTTTCAGATTTATGGACGTTGAACCCGCTGGGAATAGGTCTTTTCTCACGGAGATCATCGCTTCCATCTCTGACATTAAGTTTTCAAGGAATGGTCGGTACATTCTGAGTCGTGACTATATGACTTTGAAGGTTTGCACCATCTATTTAACCATGACTCATTATTACACTAATTCCAAGGGTGCACCAAGCTCCATAGACCATTTTTAGGTTTGACTGAATTATTCATCATCGTATATACACCTTTTGCTGTTGCCAGTTGTGGGACTTGAACATGGAAGCGTCACCCGTCGCAACTCTGAAAGTCCATGAGTATCTGCGGCCGAAGGTTCTTATCCCCACTTTTACACGTCACTTGTTGCCACTGGTGTTCCTTAAATGTTTGACGAATCGCTTTCTACTTGGATGAATTATATGATGTGAGTGCGTTTGAGGAACTTCTTAGACCCAGAACTCAAGCTCCATTTTGACACAAATCTTGTTTTCAGCTCTATGATCTGTACGAGAACGATTCCATCTTTGACAAATTTGAGTGTTGTCTAAACGGTGATGGCACACGTGCCGCAACTGGCTCCTACAGGTAACAGCCTTCTGCACCTTTTTGTGCCCTGTTGGCAATGTTAAGCAACAGCCAATCTAAAGTGTTTTTCGAACATGGAAAGGAATCGTTCTTCGGAAGATTAAGTCAGTACCTAGGGAGCAGTCTACCAGTAGCTACCAGTACCAACCTTACTGAATCTAGAAAACTGTTGTACAACCCTTCCCATGGTCCAGCAACTTGTTTCGCGTGTTCGAGACAACCTCTGGAAGCGACGAGGCCTCCATCTTAGAAGCCAGCAAGAGCCCCAACAGGTATGAGCTGCCGTCCACACTTTCTGCTACCAACGTTTCAACATATGTACACCGGTAGAGAAGCTCCGGCACTGATATTCTGATACCCATTTCCAACCATACTTTTGTGTACATCATGACAACACTTGGGTTGGTCCATCATGTGGCATTGGCAGGCGAAATGCAACGCAGTCGTCCAGATGCGGCAACCGGCTGGTCAACTTCGCCAGAGGCCGTCGTGACACTCGCCGAGGTCAGCCTCCAGATCAGTGAAAAGACAGCTTTTGTGTTGTGCTATCGATCTGCATTGCTCCTAGCTTTGAACACAACACTCTTTTTACGGTGAGAAGGCGATGATAGAACAAGTGCACAAATAATTAGAGGCTGTTAGTTGTTGGCTGATTGTTGGGGCAGGTGGGAATGAGATGGTGGGTGCGGAGAACGGTGTGTATGATTTCACGTCCGAGCTTCTGCACCTGGCTTGGAATCCTGCAGCCAATTTGATTGCGTGCGCTGCATCCAACAGCTTGTACATGTACTTCGCCTAGCGCACATCACCAGCATTGCTTCTTCTTCATCGTCTTCATCTTCTTCGCAGTAAATTTACAGCATCCATCACCGACACTGCATCATCTCCATCTTCATCGTCTTGTCGGTAAACTAGTAGCATCCTTCACACACTTTTCATCTTCTCCTTTTTCTTCGTCTGCTTCATCATGTTCAACTTCTTTTTATCTTCATTTCATGGTAGTATTTGTGGAAAGTACTCTTTGTGGGTTGTATTGAGGATTGTAGATGCATCTTGCTTGGTTTGAGGGAGCGCATTATACACTGCATTCTTGTGTGCTTTCCACGGATCTGGTGGTCAAATATATATTTTTGCATTAGGAAAGTGAAAAAAGTGAAAAGGTAAAACAATGCCAAACTTGGATCGTATTGTCTACTGTAAAACAAGTTCATGTTTTAGTGGCAAGCAATCTAAACATTGCCTGTGGGTTAGATTATGGTTGGTGTAGTTGAGCAAATTTATTTGTTTTGTTTTTAATTTCACAAGATTGATAAAAATCTCAAGTACATAAAAACATTTGAGGTTCTTGTTATTTACATAAAGAATTATTTCACTTGAAATGGTTTTACAAAACAAAGTGTTACCATTCTTAAAATGAATTTACAATTATACCAAACTATTTTTCATAAAGCTAATACTTAAAAATAATAGATGCACAGTTTTTATAAAAATTAAATCAATTATTATTTATTTGGTTGTTTATATTAAAAAAAATTGTAAAATAAAATTACAATATTTGTCTCTACAATTTATCCAAAACTTATTGCATCAAAATACAAGTTGTAGGAAAAGCTCTCATCATATACTTAAAAATCAATTTAATTGTAGTATATTAATCAATAATAAAGTACATCTATTTGACAAAATTAGTAATAATAATAATAATGGATATTATAAAAAAAATTTCAAGAGCAAATAATGTAATTTTTTTTTTTTTTTTTTTTTTTTTTTAATTTTATTGATGACCAATTTATAACTGAGATATTTTTAAAATTCACAGATAAATTGTTTTAGAAATGATATATCCAAAAATTTCTACATAAAGTTCAAACAGTGAAAATTATTCTAATTTGTCAAATAATATAACTTATTTTAGATTTTATAAAATTCGATGCATGTATATTTGTATTTTTCAATATCAAAAAAATATCAAATACAATAAACAGCAAAGTCATGAAAAAAATTCACAAAAAATATTACTTAGTACAAAGTATAGAAAGTATTCCCAATGTTACATTTTATATATTTTGTAAGTGCTACAAGTTAATACTCTAATAAATGGTAAATAGTATCATGTATAAATTTTATATTTTTAAATAATAACTTTATAAGTTAAAAGGTTAGTATTTCATCAAAAAAATTGTATTTTTGCTTTTGATGCACTTAAAAAATAACTTTGATGAGCTTGAAAATGTACTTGATGCAGATATAATTTTGTGTGTTGGTTGTGAAGGAGGTGCAAATAAAGAACTTTCATTTATTTATTTTGTTTACTAGCTTGTACAAAAGTCATTGGCAAGCCCTTCTAATATAGAATATTAGAAAATTTGTTCTACTTGTAGGATACAACTTGTCCTACTTGTCCTTTATAAGACTTAATATATGACACAAATAAATGTGAATAGAAAATGTGAATGTGAATAAGATAGACGACCCATTTCTAATAACTTAAATATTTCAATTTATATCCAATAGGTGGGAAAATGGGGAAAAAACACCTCCATGTAAAGAAATAGAAATCAGGAGGATTTTAAGTGTTTTTGCAAATTAAGATAAAAAAATTTAGGATCTTAATGTTTTTATTTTTATCTTAATTTTTATTTTAATTTGGCCCAAAAATAGAACTTATATAAATATTTTAGCTCAAGATTCTTTTCCACCCATTTTAGACATATTGGCCTACCTAATTTTAATTGGTGGTGGATTATAAAATTAAAAATCCAATTTTTACAAAACCATAATGTATAGCACTTATTAATACTTTCAAGAAAAGTGTGGCATTTGATTATTTTATTATTCCACCTCAACCAACCAACAATTGCCACCTATTGATAGTTCATGCAAATCCATTTCAAGTACAATGAATTTTATTTATTATTCACACTTTAACATCATTTTAACCAATTCACGATCTATTTAAGATCATTAGAAAAGGATTTTATTTTATTTATTTTTATTGATGTTAGATCTGCTTGTCAGAACGAATTAGTCCTAGTTGCTGGAGTAATCAAAATAGGATATCTTATATATTGAAAATGGAAGGTGGTCAATAATGGGTCGACTACCTTAGACTTGCACAAGAGTGGTAGCTTCACATTTAAAGCTCAATAACTACTATTTGCCATCTCAAAAAGTTGACATCTCTTAAAGCTTTGAGTTTAAAAAATATTATCTTATTCTCTTAATAAAGAATATAATTTTTGATGATTTTATGAAAAAATTATTGAATTAAAAAATTTATCCTTCATTAGATGGGCTTAATTATTGGTCTAACAAACAAAGATATAAATGATTTTGAAATTTTTGAAAGGTTTTGACAAATTTATAATAAGAATCAATAGTTTTTTTTTAAAAAATAAAAATATAAAAAAATAATAAAATAATAAAATAATACTAAAAAAATTAATAATTTTAAATATAAATTTTAATAATCACATTTCAAAATTTTTAAATCAATCTTATTAATCATTAGATTTATAGATAATAATAATATTAATAATAAATTATATATATATATATATATATATATATATATATATAAAGACCAAGAATCAATATTAAAGATAAAAATAAAAAATAAAGAAAATTTGTAACTCATATATTTTGGATTGCATTATCTATAAGTATTAAAACATAAAATCATAAAGACGAAATGAATAAACAAAAAGCATAATTTTAAAGTTATTTGAAATGCTATAAACATATAACATATTATATAGAACAAACTGAATAAATATTTTACTAAACCTAAAGTCTTAAAAATTCCATTCACATATAAAAATCTTATATTTAAAATTAATTAAGTACATACTATTATTTGAATTTACTTAATTATATGGACTTTAGCTACATCTTAATTAACAACTTGTTTAAATTATATCCACAAGATAAAAAAAATTATTAATAAACTCATAAGATTACAAGAAATATATAATCACAAACTTTTTTTTTATAAGGTAATGTTTTCTTTTTATCAATAAATATCAATAATATATCTATAAAATATATCTATTAAATTATTTTTTAGAATTCACATTTGAATTATATAAATAAATAAATAAATCATCTCTTAGCTATTGATAAATATTTTTTAAAAATCTATATTTTAGATTATTACTTACCTTTTATACTTTCTATTTATGTAAGTCACCACTTCATATCATTTAAATATAATTTTTCAAAAAAAAATTGTAATATTTAATAACTGTTAGGGACATAGTCCTTAGAACCTTCTAGAGACAAGTTTCTAGGACCTTCTAGAAGCAAGTCTCTGGAACCTTCTAGAAGCTTCGTAGTTGATGGAAATTGCTTGAGAATCTTCCTAGTTGGTAGAAGATGTTAGGGACATAGTCCTTAGAACCTTCTAGAAGCAAGTCTCTGGAATCTTCTAGAAGCTTTTTAGTTGGTAGAAGTTGCTTGAGAAACTTCTTAAATAGGAGTATATATTGGAATCGAGGCTGAAGAGTTCTTCAGTCTCGACAACACATCTCGTGGAGCTCTAGCTCATCTCTCTGGTATTATTCTTGTATTCATCTGATTAATCTAGTTCTTGTCAGTTCTTCTTGAACTTCTTGTTAGATCTCGAGTCTGTATTTCTATATCCATAACAGTTTGTCGAGACTTCACTCACCTCAGATATCAGAGCTAGTTTCTTCCTCGTTAGAGTGTGGATTATCCCTCTGCTTGGAAGTGTACTAGCATTTTAGAGGTTGCGGATTACCCTCCTCTAAACTGATACTTCTTTTGTTACAATATTGGAGTCTTATTCTTCTTGGAGAGAGTGGATTACCCCTTTTCTTGAAGCTCTTAAGGCATTTTAGGGGTTGCGGAGTACCCTCATCTAAACCAATATTGTCTTCTTATAGAGTCATTTCTATCCTTTTCTTAGAATGGTCGGAGGCCAAGACATTAGTATGACGGAAAGTTCGGAGTCCAAGTTGGATGCTATCATGAATGCCCTCGCTACGTTATCGCAAAGAACTGTAGAGATTGAAGGAGTCATAGCAAGGCTTCATAATGATGGAGCATCAGGGATGGCACAATCTAAGTTGCACTAGCTTCAAACTTCTGCACTTGGAGAAGCAACTTTGCCTCAGGTTCGATAAGCACCGCTATTTCTACAACATAAGGAGCCCCGAGTTAGCCTTCCGGACAAGTTTGATGGTACGCGTTCCAAGTTTTGAGGATTCGTCAACGAAATTAGGTTGATAACAGTTTTACAGCCTGAATGCTATCCAACAGAGGAGTCACGTGTTAGGCTTGTTGGAACCTTACTTACAAGGCAAGCTCTATCATGGTTTGTTCCTTTGTTTGAGAAACGATCGTCCATACTAAACAACTTTGAAACCTTTTTGGAGGCATTTGCGAAAGTATTTGGTGAACACGACAAGATTCGATGGGCTACAACAAAGATCCGATCACTACGACAAGGATGCGCTCTACATCAGTCTATGCATCGAATTTTAGGCAATTAGCATGCGACATCAATTGGGATGAAGAAGCATTGATGAGTCAATTCTATTGGGGTTTAAGGGACGATGTGAAGGATTTGCTGTTAACTCTTCCTGATCCGTAAATGCTCAACGAAGCTATTAGCCAAGTTATGAAGTGCGATAACCGCCTATTCCAACGTCGCCAAGACCAATGTTCAAGACAACATACGGTTCGCCATGCCCTAATTATATCGGCAAGCAGCGTGAATTCATATTTAGAGGTAGAAGACATATAAATTGATGCGGTACGTGTCAAATCTCTTATTCTAGAAGAAAAAAAGTGACGTATGGAGGAAGATCTATGCTTGTATTGCGGTGAAGAAGGCCACAAAGTTGGAAACTGCCCCAAGAAGCAAAATCGACATATTGTCAGGACTAGGGGTGCATTTGTTCAAGAAAACGAGGATGCCCAGCCACAATAGGAACCGTGCGACTGGACAGTGAAATATCACAACAACAATCAGATTCTTTTCTTTTCGCTCAACGTGCCCTTTGCTTTACAATCTCTTTGCTTATTGGCCCTCAGAAATTGAGAACCTTAGCATTATTAGATTCAAGAGCATCTGCTTGTTTCTTAGACGAAGAATTTGTGAAGCGTCATAAGATCCCTTTAGTACAAAAATCCAAACCTGTTCATGTTGAGGTCATAGATAGGCGACCTTTATTGTCTGGTAGTGTCATCCATGAATCAGAACCTATAGAAGTAATGTTTAAGGGCCATAGTAGTCATATTATTTTCAATATTATTAGAACCCCATCAAATCCTGTTATTCTTGGTCTTTCTTGGTTGGAAAAGCATAATCCATCTATAGATTGGAGGTTGCCGAAGATGACCTTTCCCACAAAAC